CATAAGATGGTCGCCTGCTCATGCTGGACAAGAGAGAGTGGTCTGGAGGTACAAAAATAAATTAGAGAACTTTCCAAAGCATCAAGGCATCCCACCCATACCGGGTTAGAACATGGAATTGGAGTAAAACAGGATGGAGATATCTTTGTCAGCATTCTGGTGGTTGGGCAAGTGAGCCTCATAACTTGGTAAATGAGTAATGAACATTACACTAAAGTTTGCGGACCACCATATCTATCTATCCCTATATGATTTATGTAGAATATCAAACTGATTAATACTGATTGGAATAGAGTAGGGGTCCAAATGAATTATTTCTTACACTAAGAAGATCTGTTCTCTTCTATCACTCATAGAGCATCAAGGAAACAGCAGCTTAAAAGTCTGATCACGTCGCACACACACACACTCGATAAACTTCAATGATTCCTTATTGTCTCTGGCATTCAAAGCTCTTCATAACCTCGCCCCCTCCAACCTTTCCCATCTCCTTACACCTTACTCCCTGACATACAGTCTTCAACCCAGTGACATGGGCCTGGCCATTCCGCAAACAAGACATTCCATCTCTGGGCTCTGGGCATTTTCTCTGGTTTTCTCCCATGCCTGAAATGCTCTTCTTCTCTGTCTCTACCTACCAACCTTCCCGGCTTCTGTTAAGTCCCAACTAAAATCCCACCAGCTAGGTGGCCCACTGGATGGAGCACTGGCCCTGAAGTCAGGAGGACCTGAGTTCAAATCTGGCCTCAGACCAAACACTTGTCACGTACTAGCTGTGTGACCCTGGGCAAGTCACTTCACCCCAATTGCCTTAAAAAAAATAAACAAATAAATAAAAATATAATTAAAATCCCACCTTCGACTGGAAGCCTTCCCCTACTCATTCTAGTGCCTTCCCTTGGTTAGTTATCTCCAATTTATCCTGCACATAGCTTGCTTTGCATATGTTTGTTAGCTTGTTGTCTCCCTCATTAGATTATAAACTCCTTGAGGGCAAGGATGGTCTTTTGTCTTTCTCTTTTTTTTTTTTTTTTAATCTCCGGGGTTTCAAACAATGCCTGGTTTATAGTAGGTGCTTAATAAATGTTGATTGGTTTGTTGATTGATTGATTAATTGATTAAAGGAGTTTAGCACTAGAAGGGACTTTAACCTGTAGGCAGTGAAATTGAATCAGAAAAAAAAAAAGACATCTTTATTTTCACTAACTTGACCTGAAATTTAGCATATCCTTTAATTATGAATATAGGCAACAAATGTTATTTTGAAAAGAGGTGCCCAGGCTTCCCCAAACTGCCAAAGGGAACCATGACACAAACAAGGTTAAGAACCTCTCATTTTACAGATGAAGAAACTGAGACACAGAGGCACACATACTCCAAATTCATATTACTTATTGATTAGTTAGTATACTCATTAATTATGAATAGTAGAACTGGGGTTCCAGCTCAGGTTCTCTGACTCTACATTTCAGTGCTCTTTCCAAGTGCCTCAGAAGAAAAAAGTTTTCTCTAATGTTCTAATTATAGACTTGAGAGGCTGTTGGATAGAGTGGACATGAGCTGGCCTCAGAGGCAGGAAGACTTGAGTTCAAATTCTCCCTCTGACACATTCGTGCTGTTCGACCCTGGCCAGGTCACTTAACGTTGCATTATCCTATATAACTCTTTTAAGATCCTAATTTACAGAAGAGTTACTGGTCCGCATTGGTGGGGGAGTTTCCACATCAAACTTCCCTATGATTTATGGAATCACAGGTCTAGACCAAATATATGTCTATAGATATGTACTGTGTGTGCATTAGACACATGTATTACATAGATACGTTTATTTAACTACATATTTAATTATGCTCACATCATCCTAAATCAGAGGTAGTGACATTTTATTGTCATTATTCCTGCTACTATTGCTCGTAGTTCATTCTCAAAGGGACATCACGGTGACTTGACTTGCAAGTGAATTGGACTTAAGGGAGGCAAAGCTGTGCTAAGTCATCATCCTCACTCCCTCTGGACTTCAATTCCTGTTATAAATAGCAATGCACGATAGATGTGTGCGTGTGTGTGTGTGTGTGTATTATATATCTATATATAATACATACATACATACATACAGATAGATAGACAGATTCAGCCAGAAGTTGCCAAATAACAGATCCTTTGTCTTGCTAAAACTTGTTCTGTCTAGGGGAAAACTGCCATTAGGACACCTTTGAAATCAAATGAACTGCAATAAGACGCATTGCCTACTCCCTAACGCCATGTTTCTCAAGGAATCCTGGCCAAAAGAGGCTGGGGGATAGGGGGTGAGGAGGGAACTATATAGAAGGGAATAAATTCTTTCCCAGCTTACAATTCTAAGGTTTTAAGCACAAGAAGAAAAATAAACTCACAAGCCCAAAAAGGGTTCTTACAGGTTGGTTGGTGGGTTGGTTTTTAGCCACTTTTCAATCAACCCAGGAAGTTCCAAGCACGAAATAGGCAGTAGTTAAATTGTGCTCTTCCGATCAAATCCCAACTGACTGAAACAAAAGTATGTGTCCTGACTGGGCTGAGCCTTCATATCTCTGGTCTTTCGTCCCAGTTGGCCATGACCCTCCCTGGACATTAGTTCCTCTACCACTACCTCACCAGGGTGGGTGACCAACATCACCTTTCAGCTAAGAAATCAAAAGGCCTCTGACTCGTACAACGGGCAAGTCCAAGAACCCTACTAAAGCAAGGAGTGCTCTTTATAGCTGGACAGATTTATATTTTTACCTATTCTCCCTTTTCCTAAGTTGGGAGAGGGGATGATCAAAGAGGGAGGCTGGTGGACTAAGAGTCACATTCCCAAATGGTCTTAAAGCTGTGAAGGAAAGCACAATGGAATGTCTAATGGGGGAAAGGTTGTAGAAACTCTTTTTTTCTGTCTTGTTTAAGAATCTCTAAGATTGTAAAGTATATGCCACAATCCATCTCGAATACTGAGGAATTCAGGTGCAGTCTGACCTTCCAAGATTTCTGCCAGGCCTAGAATCTATGAACATCATCCAGGAGTTATGATTTATTAGGAGATGATGCAGTAGAATGAAGAGAGCTGCATCTGGAGGCTGAAAAACCTGGGTTCAAATCCTGATTCTTCCACTTACTACCTGAGTGACTTCAGTCTAGTCACAATCTCCCTGGACCTCAGTTTCTTCACAAGAGACAGATGGATTAGATGATTTCAAGGGTCTCTTCCAGTTTGAAATCCCTCTCTGAGCCTCAGTTTCCTCTTCCGTAAAACAAAGGGAGTTGCACTGGATGACCTCTCTCTGGTTCCAAGTCTCCAAGTGGTGCTCTCTTCCTCTGCTTCATCTTTCCTCATCCCTAGGTGTGACCGTCCGCTTCATCTCAGCATTGCAGCTTAAAGTAGCTGTAGGATTCTTGGACCAATCCTTGTACCTGACAGAAAAATACTGCTCCCTTGTGGACTTTTCTTTTTTCTTCTTTCAAACCAGGATATAGGTGAGTGCCGAGATAATGCATTGGAAGAATTTCAGATGACAATTTCTACCTTCAAGTAAAAATGTGACACTTTCCTGGCCAGTTCCTGACAGTTCATTGATGACCAAACATTATGGCTTTTTCATTGATAGTTTTTATAAGAAAAGGAGGCCACAAGACGAAAGAGCCACCTCGCCAACATAATAAAGTGTCCAAGTGAATTCTGACACTTACAAAGAACAAACCTCAGTAATACCAACATAGACAGACGGTCCATGACTCAGGAATAAGCTACATCTCTTGTGTGAATCTCTGAGGACATTCTCTCAAAGAGACAATGTTACTCACAAAGCCCAGACAAGCCATGGAGTCCACAATGGAGCTGAAATCCTTCGTGAGAGCCATGAATATCTGAGAACCAGTGTGAGGTAATCGAAAGAACACTGGATTTTAGAGGCAGAGGACCTGGGTTCAAATCCAGTCTCTGATACTTACTACTTGTATGACCCTGGGCAAATCACTCTATCATTCTAGGCCTTGGTTTCTTCATTTGTAAAAGGAGAAAGTTTGACTAGATAACCTTTGCTGTCCCTTGCAACACTAGATCTATTGTCAACTCAACACTGTAGATCCTAGTTTTTCCTCATTTGTAAAATGAGAGGGTTGAAATAGATGATATCTAGAATTCCTTCCAACTCAAAAGCTATATTCTCGGGGGCAGCTAGGTGGCGCAGTGGATAAAGCGCCGGCCCTGAAGTCAGGAGGACCTGAGTTCAAATCCGATCTCAGACCAAACACTTGACACTAGCTGTGTGACCCTGGGCAAGTCACTTAACCCCAATTGCCTAAAAAAAAAAGGGGGGGAGAAAAAGAAAAAGAAAGCTATATTCTCAAATCACTGCACCTCTCTGGGCCCCATTTTCCTCATCTGTAAAGTGAAGACCTCTAAACTCTCATCCAGCAAGTCGTAGGTATTTAATAAATGTTGATTGCTTGGAGCATAGTAGGTGCTTAATAAATGTCACTTGACCAGCTGCTGCAAATCATCCTTCTAGGCCTTGGGTGCCAGCATCTCTGAGAAGGGGCTTTCGGTAGTTCTAGTGTGGTTGGTGTCTCATCAGTCTTTTATCTGGAAAGAAAGGCTTCGGGAGCCTGGAAGAACAAGAAATGGTTAGCATGACAACTTTTTTTTTTAATCAGTTTATTTCAGTCGCCTCCACTGCAGCTACCTGCCTTCTGACCGTATTCCTTCACTCACCCCTTTCTGGCTTGTCTTGGAGTTCTCAGGCCTGTTCCTAGAGCCTCTTGGCTCTCCCTCAAGGCTGAAGGAAGCTCCTGGGCACAGTTGCAGCACACAGCGAGAAGAGAATGAGCACTTTCTCTGAGTCTCCTTCCCTCCCCTTCAGTCTCTCCAATCCTTCCCTCCCATCATGAAGTCCAGTACCCTATGTTGAATTCTTAACATCATTTTGCTTTTAGTATGGAGAAAAGGGGGTGGAAAAAAAAATCCCAGTAGATCAGTTTTGCCCATGGCCAGGCGGTTTATTTTCACCTGTGGGTTGACAAATAAAAGGTCAGAGGAGACTTGGGCTGAACCTAAGATAAACTGAGCAGGGATAAACGTAAAGTTCTTCACGTGGGCTTGAACAATCACCATCACCTGTGCAGCATGGGAGAGGTGCAGCTAAAGAATAATACATCTGGAGGGGAAAAAGATCCAGGGGTCTTAGTGGAGTGCAAGCTTAATATGAACCAACAGCATGACAAGACGCCCAATGAGAAAAGTGAACGGGATCGTAAGAGAAACTCGACATCCAGGAATAAGGAAATGACAGTCTAGCGTACTCTGCTTTGGTCAGGCCCCTTCTGGAATACTGTGTTCTGTCACGGGCAAAACATTTTATGAAGGACTTTAATCAGCAGGAAGACAATCAGAATACTGAAGGGACTCAAGTCTGTGCCCTGTGTGGATCAGCTGAAGAAACTGGGAGATATTTAACCCAGAGAAGCTAAAACACGGCCATCTTTAGAGCCTATCTGGAGCGCTGTGAGATGAAAGGACTAGCTTTGTTCTGCTCAGCCCCAGAGGAAGAATCAGGAGCAACCGGGAGAATCTGCAAAAAGACCAAATGTGTTGTTGTTGAGTTATTCAGAAGACCTGAGTTCAAATTCAGCCTCAGACACTTACTAGCAAGTTATTTAAACCTGTTTGACTCAGTTTTCTCATCTGTAACGTGGGCTGGAAAAGGAAATGGCAAACCACTCTATTATCTCTGCCAAGAAATCCCCAAATGGGGTCGAGGAGGCTCAGACAGCACTGAAACGACTGAACGACAATAAGAGAAAAACTCCTTGACCATTTGGACTGTCTATGAGTGAAGTGAGCTGCACAAGGACAACGTAGCTTACTCTCGCTGGGGTTGTTCAAGCAAAGACTGGGTGAGGGTTATACACCTATAAAGTTAAAGAGGAGATTCAATTCAGGCACGAGCAGGACCGAAGAGCCAGAGGGGCCCCCTCCCAGTGGGAAATTCTGGATTCTGGATTGGAAGAAGCACCAGGCGTGGAGTTGGAGGATCTGCGTTCAAATCCTGATACTGCTCATGACAATCTTGGAGGAACCACTTCTCTCTCTGGGCCTCATTCTCCTCGTCTGTAAAATAAGGGGGTTTAACTCGACCTCTGAGATCCTCTTCCATTCTAGAACTATATTCTTACGACCTTTAGCAAGAAACTTACTTCTCTGGACTGCGGTTTCTCGATGCAAAATAAGACCAGACTAGATGCCCCTTTCAGCCTGAAATCGGTAACCTGATTCTAGGTGCCCATCCAAACATTTGTCATCTTACCATAGAGATGTATTCCTTTAACCTAAATATCGGGTCTTCCCACCTGACCCTCCTTTAAAAGGCAAATAATCCTAGGAGGGGCGACACATCAATTCATCATAAGCTGTGTAAAATCAATTGGGACCTCAGAGGCTTCTAGCCCAACCTCATTAGCACTTAAACAGAGCATCTTTGCCCAGGGATGTGCATCTACAAATCCCCTACAGTGCCCTGGACATTGTGCTGGACATACAAAGATGATAAGGACCGGGAAGGAGTGAGGGTTAAATTCATCGAGGTGCAGGCGTAAAAAGGGTTCAGTTAAAGCTACCAGGAGACCCCCTCCCAGACAAACCTGACCTACTCTGCTTTTTGCTCTCAGCCCTGCTCTACAATCTTTCCAAAGTTGGTGAATTCTAGCTGTCCATCAGGTGCGTATTTTCATCTGAAATCTCCTATTCTGATCTAAACTCTCATCCCCAGGGAGGACTCCATGCCTCCTCTTCCTCTGGCTCATGCTGGCTGCCCCCTAGAAGATGTTTGTCAAAAGCCCAGAGCTGAAGGAGCCTTTGAGCTATTCTCTTGAGAAACTGAGCTGCAAAAAGAATCTCAACTTCTATTTCAAGACTGGCATTACGCTAAAAGTAGAGTCTCAGGTTTGAGAATGAGTCTTGTTTTTATATAAATTTTCTGTTTTTATCATGAACTTAACAACGATGAACATTTCAATATTCAAAGAACAGAAAAGAGAATTGTAGACAAAAGTAGGAACTTTGGCTTTAGTTTTGACACTGTTTCCTTTCTTTAAAGGAAAATTTAAGTTTAAAAATGTTAATAAAAATTTTTATAGTTTTAAAAATGTTTATTATTATGAATCTGACAAATATCAACAAAAAATGTCTTTACACAAAGAACAAAAAAGAAGGATTGCATATGACACTGTGAATGTATTACATATACCTTAGGTTTAAATATAGATGAAGTTTAGCAGAGTAGCTACCAACGCTGCTCTATTTGTCCGGAAGGTCTCTTAGCCTATTGATTGTCAGGCATTCCCTTCATGGCTTCTTTGTTGATTTGGGTTCTGAATGTCCGAGATTTTATTTTACTTTACTTGAAGAGGCTCCGGTTGCTTATCATAGCTTTGGTTTCTCCATGGGCACTAAGAGGTCCCCTTATACAAGAGTAGCATTTATATTGGTCCAGTAAAAGTTAATTCTCTCCTCCGTCAGAGTGGACATGGAGGCCAAGGTCTCTCAACAGAGGTAGAGAACCAAAGGAAGGAATCTTGACTTCGGGGCTCATACCCCATCCACTGGAACCTGATCATAAGATTATAGATTCAGATCTGAAAGGGACCTTCATCTTTCATTTTACAGATAGGGAAACTGGGGCTTAGAGAAATTCTATGACTTGTCCAAGGTTTCACAGGATAGAACAACGCGGAGCCTGGACTTTGCCTCCAGATTCAGTACTCTCTGCCTCCATGGCTCCAGTGAATTCTACAGCTGTCCCTCAAGGTCATTCTTTTCTGCTCCCTTGTCATCCTCAGACTTCACTGGACTGAGCAGAGAGAGATACCTGTCACTTCAGGGAGATGCCAAGAATGTATAAAATCCTAGATCACAGACTTCAATCTGGAAGGTTCCTCACAAGCAGTCCAACCCCCTCATTCTACAGAGGAGGAAACTGAGGCCTAGAGAGGTAAAGTGGAATGGAATGGAATAAGCACATATTAAGTGCCTACTATGTGCCAGGCATTGTGCTAAGCCCTTTACAATGACAAGTCACCAGAGTTCAAATCCCAGAATGGCTACTTACCACTTACGCCACCTCAGATGTGTTCCTCGGCCCATCTGGCCTCGCTTCTCCGCTCCGTGAAAGAAGTAAGTAGAACTAGAGGCCTTTGGAGGTCTCTTCCTCATCTAAATCTGTGTTCAGACACTCAAGCCTCAGTGGAGGAGCCTGAAGTCAGGACTCCTGCCTCTGGCTCCCTGAACCGAGCAGGCTTCTAAGACTTTTCCCAAATGGTGTCTCCACCTACACACAGCCCAAGGCTACGTCGGCATGTCTAAGTGCCTGTTCCGTGCCAGGCACTGTGCTGGGGTCCTGGGGAATCAGAAGACAAACACAGACAGTGAGAGAAGACTGGGGTGGGGGAGAGGGAGGATACACAAGGTGTGACAGGTACACCAACAAGTCAATAGAAAATAAACCGCGGAGGGAGAACACTGTGAACGACTGGGGATCCAGAAAGGCTTCATGTGGCACGCTGCCACTGACCCATGCATTGAAAGGAGCTCTGGATCCTGCAAGGCTGAGCCGAAGAACTGCCAGGCTCCAGATCTACTTCAAATGGATTTGGGCCAACATTGATATTACTCTCCTCAAAAAAATCTGACAGTCATCAACCAAAAAAAGCAATATTCCACTCTCCCGTGTTTATCCAAAGATATCTTTTTTAACTTGTTGACCCTCAGAGTGACCTGTAAATGGGACCTGCTCATGGCTGCCTCACTTATCAACTTTTAACATACTTTACAGTGGCAGGGAGATATCTTTTTTTTTGGGGGGGGGAGGGATATACTGGGTTTCCTTATCCTGCCCAGGCTGGAAGTACAGTGTCTACTCACCTGCCTGACCCTACTACTGAATTCTGACCTACTCCATTTCCAATCTAGGTCAATTTGCCCATCAGGCAACCTGGTAGCTTTGTACCCAATTGCTCACCACAATGGTGCTTGACTTAGTGGACATCCAATTGGCTTAGACCACTGCAGCTCAGAACTCTAGAGCTTAAGAAATCCACAAGCTTTAGCCTCCCCAGAAGCAGGAACCATAGACATGTATTACCAGGCCTGGCTAGAGAAGTATTCCTTACTGCCAGGCTCTCTCCAGGCCAGCCATCCAAGGGAGGCTTTTCCCATGATCTCCAAAAGAAGATGTCATGACGAATTTGATCTCCTTAGCTAAGTGCTGTGCACTGAGTACCTAAGGTTTCAGTTGGCAGTTCAACCTAAAAGCACCTATCACAGAACAGCGCAAGATCAACTATAAACCACGATCAAAGTTATGTGGGGAGATTACTAGCCCCTGAATTTGATATTTTTAAATATTTTTATTTTTTGTTATTCTGTACTTGACAAACAACAACTGACATAAACATTTCCATATATGGAATAAAACAGAAGCATTTATTAAATGTTCACAATGTGCCAGGCACTGTGCTAAGTGACAGGGATACAAATACAAGCAAAAAGAAAGACAGCCCTGCCCTCAAGGAGGTTAGATTCTAACTGAGGAAGAGAACACATAAAATGGAGCTGCAAAGTAGGAGAGGGGGAACCATGTTAGGGCACAGGGGAGAAAGTCCAAAGAATGAGGATCAGAACCTGGAGAGAAATGAGGAAGTGAACATGGGTCCTTTCCTTAAAATGGAGGTCTCAGAGGAACTGACCATTAAGAGGAAGGGGCTACACAGGCAGAGTGACCTTCCAGGGTTAGACCTGCTGTGGCATGGTAGAGAAAGTCTGGACAGAAAGTAATGAAGAATGAAAAAAAAAAAAGATTGTATATGAAAATATGAATCTATTATAAAACCACTGTCTTTAAAATATACATAATAAATTCAACATACTAGTTTTCAAGCTTTTCTGCATCTCATTCTTGGTATATTTGTTTTTTCAGAGGCAAGTTATAGCCCTGAAGAAGAGTTAAGAAAATGCACCTCACTCCAGTCTTTGCAGAGATATGGGACTATGAGGGTGAAATATTACATCTACTATCAAACATGGCTGATGCCATATGATCAAAGGATACCGGATTTAGAGCTGGGAGGGACCTCAGAAATCCATTTAGTTCAATAACTTTATTTTACAGATAATAGTAATGACAGCTAACCTTTATGTAGGGCCCACTATGTGCCAGGGGGTGTATGGGGTATTCAGAGACAGCTAGCACTTCTGGTATGAAGGCTTGCCAAGCCCTTTTCAGGGATGCTCTTTGGACCTTTGATGTCCACCTACCACCCAGCTCTCAACTGTGGCTCCAAGAAGCTGTATCATATTCACGGTCACACCCTGGCAAAAACCATCTTGGCAGATGGGCTAAACCAGGTTGAGAGTACCCAGTAGGCCTCAAACCTGTCGGTGAGGTAGGGGGATGTCTCTCCCAAGCACGTGAAGACTTCCCCAGTAGGATGGGCTGATGAGAACAATCTGTTCCAATGGCCACGAAGGTGGCTGAAGCAGGTGCTATGGAGCACCTAGTGCTTGGTTAGACAGACATCGAAGATGCCAAGGTCATCCACTGCTTCACCGGCCCCCACCAGTCACTCTGACTTTTGTCTTGCCACTGGACTTCAATGACTCAGGAAGAGAATGAGGCTGACGACTTTGTGCAGCTCTGCCTCCCTTAAATCCAATTCATGACAAAGTCAGACATCACCCATGATGTCTCGGGTCCCCTTTGAAAACAAAGGACACACATCCACAACTAGGGACCAGGCACTGTGCTAAATCCTTTATAATTATTATCATCTTTGATCCTCATAAAAACCCTGGGAAGTAGTTACTACTATTACCCATGTATACATCCATATATGCACATATGTATATATACATGCATAGACATGTATGTATATCCTGCTTCAGAGAAGGCATGTGTGTTGTGTATGTGTGTGTACATGCATAAACTAGACAAATGAGGGAAGGAGAAATGACTACATACGTGTGGTCACTACATATACAGTACATATGTAAATATCTGTATCGTTCTATGTCTATATTTGGATCTCTATCTCTATATCTATCAATAGGTAGTTAGGCAGATATAGATGTATCTATCTATCTATCTATCTATCTATCTATCTATCTATCTATCTATCTATCTATCTATATATATATATGGCACAGTGGTAGAGCTCTGGACTTGGATTCAGACCTGGATTCAGATCCTGCCTCAAACACTTACTAGATCTTGACCTGGGAATGTCATTTAATCCTTCTTAATTTGTGTTTTCTCATCTATAAAATGGAGATAAAATAGGTGTCCCCACCTCATAGAGTCGGGAGGGGGGAATCACATGAGATAATATATTTAAGTGCTTTGTAGACCCTAAAACGGTACAGAAATGTACACTATGAGGATGATGATGTTATAAGGTTATTCCATGTCATCTTTTGAAAATTTTTTAAACAAAATTTTATTAACATCTTTTTTTTTTTACATCTCCCAATACAACCCACTCACCTCCCTCTGCCAGGGAGATTTAACCATTATAACAAAAAGTAAAAACCCCAGTTCATCAAAACTAACACATCCAAAAAGTCTGATATTACATGCAGCATTTCATACCCATAGTCCCCCATTTCTCAAAGAAGAAAGGGATGAGAGATGCCTTCTCATATCTCTTCTTTGGCTCTTGCAGTGAATTCTTTTACTTTCCCAGGTGACATCCGAGCTGGCTGGTGTCTGATAAGACACAGACCTGGGAATCTCACCCTGTTTCATTTTCCTCTCTTTGTCCCTCTGGTCACAATGGGAATAGCAGAGAAAGCCAAGAGTCAGACATTCACCCAATCCTCTCGAGCCTCTTCTCACATACTAACATTTGTTTTCTGGGCAAGCCTCTTTTGGCCTGTAGATAATTTCCTATTTGGGGCCTTACAAATCCATAGGGTAAAATTCATGAGATAAAAACAAAAAGCCTAACACACATCTAATTGACATTGAAGGTAGTGACTGAAACTAATAGTACATCACTGAATTTGCTATCAGAAACACTGAATGCTCTAACAAAAACAAGCTTTCTGAAGACTGGGCATTTAAGGAACTTGGTCATTATGGGATTGCTTTTCTACATGTTTCTGAGGGAGACTAGAGTCCATGATCTAAATGTCCACATTCACTTAGACCAGATGTTCTTAACTTGGGGTCCACAAACTTGGGTTTGTTTTTAATTTGATAATTGCATTTTGGTATAATTGGTTTATTTTGCAATCCTACGTGTTTTATTTTATACATTTAAAAACATTATTGGAGTCAAATGGGTTTATGATTTAGATATAAAGGCTGATAACTGTAAGCAAACTGGGAGAACAAGGAATAGTTTACCTATCGGATCTATGGGGAACAGAAAAATTCATGACCAAACAGGAGATAGAGAACATTACAAAAAGAAAAACAGATAATTTTGATTACATTAAATTGAAAAGTTTTTGCACAAACAAAGCCAATGCAACTAAGATTAGAAGGAAGGTAGAAACTTGGGAAAGAATTTTTACAACCAGTCTCTCTGATAAGGGCCTCATTTCTAAAATATATAGAGAATTAAGACAAATTTATAAGACTATAAGCCATTCCCCAATTGATAACTGGTCAAAGGATATGAGCAGACAGTTCTCATATGAAGAAATTAAAGCCATCTATAGTAATTTGAAAAAATGCTCTAAATCATTATTGATTAGAGAAATGCAAATCAAAACAACTCTGAGGTACCATATCACACCTATCAGATTGGCCAACATGACAAAACAGGAAAATGATAAATGTTGGAGAAGACGTGGGAAAATTGGAACACAAATGATCCAACCATTCTGGAGAACAATTTGGAACTATGCTCAAAGGGCTATAAAAATGTGCATGCCCTTTGACCCAGCAATAGCACTTCTAGGGCTATAGCCCAAAGAGATCATACAAATGGGAAAAGGACCCACATGTACAAAAATATTCCTAGCAGCTCTTTTTGTGGTGGCAAAGAATTGGAAATTGAGAGGATGCCCATCAATTGGGGAATGGCTGAGCAAGTTGTGGTATATGAATGTAATGGAATATTATTATGCTATAAGAAATGATGAACAGGTCAACTTCAGAAAAACCTGGAAAGACTTGTATGGTCTGATGCTGAGTGAAATGAGCAGAACCAAGAGAACGTTGTACACAACAACAGCCACATTGTGAGATGACTAATATTGATAAACTTAACCCTTCTCAGCAATACAAGGATCTAGACATCCCCAGAGGCCCCATGTTGGAAAATGCTGTCCACATCCAAAGAAAGAACTATGGAAGCTGAATCGCTATCATTTTTTTTCTCTTCTGTTGAGTTT